CATGCTAATGTAAACACCGACCATATTACGTCCAAAACAGTCGGGCATTGTTTCTGATAGCAACGTTTCTGATAGGGCCGTGGGTCCACATTTCAGATATTACGTCATATCGGACGCAAATCTGGATCAGCTCCGTTGTTCCCCGTTTTTAGAGATTTGGGTACGGAGGAAAAGAGAGAGGGTTTTATTTCCTGACACTGCGTGAGTTCCCTGACACACCGAGGACACACCGGTGACAAACCGGGGACACACCGGGGACGAACCAGGGACACACCGGGGACACACTGGGGACACACAGGGGACACACCAGGGACACACAGGGGACACACAGGGGACACACCAGGGACACACAGGGGACACAGCGGGGACACACCGGGGACACACAGGGGACACAGCGGGGACACACCGGGGACACATGGTGATGTAGAAAAGACATCACAAAGTGACTTTTGCATGATAGGTCTCTTTTTAAGTAAGGAAATCCATTAGTTTGTTATTTAGCTAGTTAGTTTGACTTAGTTAGTTGATAAAATAAGTAAATTAATAAGGTATTTATTTACTTTGTTAGTGAGTTAGTTAGTTAATTTGTTTGTTTAAAAAGAAAATAAATTAGTTCAACAGTTTTTATCTGAGTCAATCATTATACTAGTTAGTGTGTGACATACAAGAAAACAAATTGAACACTAAACAGTAGAATTAATACTTTCTACTCTTAATAATATCCAGTTATGTGTAATAACCAGCGGTACCTGGAAGGCGTTGAGCAGCGTGAACAGGTAGTTCACTGTTATAGCAATGGGTCCAGATGTGAGATCCATCAACATCACAGCGAACCCAAACACCCAGGTGACTCCGAAGATGGGAGTCAGCAGAATAACCGACCGCATCACCGTGACGGCCGCCTTCTTCTCGCTCTCATTGGTCCGCTCGGCGTTCTTTGGGTGATCGAGCAGCTTCATGATCACCACCATCATGGAGAGAATGTTGACGAACACGATAATTCCCACGGGGATAAAGAAGGTGTGGATGGAGCCCTTCATGAGTCCCTCGTACAACAACCAGCAACTTTCTTTGGAGAAATACTCGCCTTCAATGCCTCCGTCATACACCAGGAACGTGATGACCACGATCAGCAGCGGGCAGACGTAGCCGAGGAACATGGAGAGTCTCAGGTAGGTCTTCTTGCTCACGTTGTGGAACAGAAAGACGGCCTGGTGAAGCAACATGCCGCTCAAACACAGCATCCAGAAGAACATGGACAGGAAGCAGAAGTGTTTCAGCACCACGAAGATACGGCACCACAACTCGGAGACACTTTCGGGGTCCATGGACGCCAAAAAGCAGCTGTCGGCCACCAGGAGGCACAGCGAGATGTTGATGTGAGCCGTGTGGCGGAGGTACAACGTGTTTGTTTTCACCACGGAGCTCCAAACCAACGCCTCGATGATGAGGCAGATTACGAGCGAAACCACGGACACCACGAGACCAACCTGGGTGACTTGGTCGAGTCCGGCGATCTTCAGAGGATACCTTTGCATCAGGATGGCGAAGGAGGACAGATGTTTGCAGGTACAGAGTCCTTCGTCTGACGCTCCGCTCCACTTACAACCGTCTCCAGACCAATCTTGGGTGACATTATCCCACGCGACACACTTCATGAGAACGTGGGGAGGCCGCTTTCTCAACAACGGGAAGCGAATCTCCACCTCCACGGACGAGATCTTGTTCTCCATCGTCGTTGACACTACGATGCTGTTCGGTTCCAGCGTTTTGTCTTTCTGCGGTAAATACTTCTCCAGCTCTTTGAAGCCGGCCGTTTTCACATTTCCGGGGTCGGGGCTTTTGAGGGTTACGGACACGTTGAACACCTTGTTGTAACATTTGGTGTTTTGCTTCGTGCAGTTGGTCGCCATCACCTCGATGTTTTTCTTCTTCTTCAATCGGGTCACGTTTGTGGCGTCAATCAGCTTCTCCACGGAGCTCAGGTATCTCTCCGCCAGAGAAATGTTCTCTTGGCCAGACTTCTTCTTCCACGAGTCTTTGAGAGATTCCTCCAGAAGATTACTGGAGGACTCAAAGAAGTCCTGCAAAAGAAAAACAATCATTGAGTTATACATTGTACTTATTAAGATTTTAAGAAATAGAAATAAAGGTTCTAATAGGAAAAACAGATGAACAGAATAAAATACAGATTGTGAGATTAAACACTCAACAGTAGAAGGAATACTTTTTACTGTGATTATATTCAGTTTTAAGGGACGACCAGCGGTACCTGGAAGGCGTTGAGCAGCGAGTTAGTTATTAGTTATTTAAGAAAACAAGTAAGTTAATCATGTATTCAATAAGTTAGTCATTAAGGACATAAGTTAGTTAATCAGGTATTCATTGAGTTAGTTCATTTCTTAAGAAACAAATATCATGATAGTAACTGAATGTCATGATTATTCACCAACATGAATTTATTGTAAGTTCTTTTTTATCCTGATCTTTGACAAAATCCTTAAAAGATATAAAATACAATATGTCTCAAACCATATGTAATAATAATAATATGTAGTTTGAATTGATTCAACCATCAATTAGTACAAGCTGGAGGTGTTTCCTGATTTAGAAAAGCAAGTTTAATGTGCAGGTACAACATATTAAAACCTTCCGCTTCACGATAACGTAATGATAGCGTGTTGGAAGAAGTACTCAGATCCTTTACTTAAAGAGGGAGCTCATTATTCGGTGTTATCTGAACTGCATTGGCTGCCAGTGTCTTTTAGAATGACACATTATGTTACAGTTTTTTAAAGCTCTGAATGGTTTGTCTCTCACCGAGTCTCGTTGTATGTCCCTGGACGAGCCCTGAGGTCTTCTTCAGCTTTTTAAATAAAAGTCCCCCAAATTAAAATGGTCTTTTATCACGAGAGGCCTCAGTGGACATTTTTAAACGACAGCTAAAGATACATCTTTTCAGATTAGCGTATCGTTAGCCTTTAGTCTTTATTATTTACCTACTTTTATATTGTTTTATTTTGTATAGTTTGTAAAAGGGTTTTATCTTATATTATTTATTTAACAGTTGATGTTATTTTATAGGGTTTCATATTGTTGCATCAATTCACTTAGTCTTGTGTCTAGAGGAAACATTATTTACTTTGTTGCTGAAAAAGTCTTAACACGTGATCTGAGGGGAGTTTCTCGTTGTTAGCTACACGTGCTGTATGAAAAGTGCTACATAAATAAAGCTTCATTATTAATGTCAACATACTCTAAATAAAAGTACAGGAGTATTATCAGCACAATCCCTTTAAAGTATCTAAAAGAAAAGTAGGGGAGAGGTGGGACGACAGTAACGTGGACATGTTTCCATTCATGCTCAGAAAGGTCTCGATTAAGAAATGAAAATATTCTGCGTTGCTTACGTCGGCCGTGGTGTCGTTGTTGATGCTGTTGATTTTGTTGCTCAGACTTAAGAGGACCTGGACCGAAGCGTTGAGGTTGGCGTATGAGTTTATTTTCTGCGAGTTGTTCGTGACCTGATCGAGCTGAGAAAAGACATCGGCTGCGTTTTCATCCAGAGAGCCGAGCCCGATGTCCGAGTTCTGCAACAAAAGAGAGTTCATGTCTAGAAAGCTGGAGATAACTTTAAAGGTCCCCTATCATACTGTTTCTCATCAATATATCACAGGTCTCAGATATATCCAGAGCCTGTCTCTGATTGGCTGAAACACCAAACAGATCATTGCAGCATTACCCATAATCCCCTCTGTTTCAGCCCTGTTTCCAAAGTGCTGATTCTCTGTCTGTAACTTTAGATGAAAATAAGGAGCCCCTCCCCACGTCCCTCTGAGAGACATTTGGTTAAAAAGAACTCAATTGTGCTCTAGGGGGGGGTTACCTTGGTTGCTGATTGGCTAATGGTTACACAAGACAACACATCGTTATGACATCATAAAGTGGCCAAAATCTGATCAGCTCATTTTCAGACAGGTTTTTA